TCATTAGTATGCAAACATGCTTCCATCTTTAAAAGATGATAAAATAAATGCTTTTGTTTTTAAGATAAATTTCTTTAGTACTTTTTACCATTAAATCTTTAATTTGTATACCTATTTCACATATCTATATACTCAGTATAATATAAAACTTCTCAGGTAAATATGAGTTACAAGTGGGAAAAGGTTAAAAAGACCTGTAGTAGAGGACCTATTAGTTCAGTTCTTTCAGAACTTGGAAATATGGGAGGTAGGCAGAGAGCTCCCTCATGGAACACAGGGAAAGTGCCATTGCTATGCCAAATAATAAATAATAAAGAGTGTAACAAATAATAAAGACTGTAAGACAAATTTTTACTCAGAGAATTTTTTGGGTTCTTTCCACCAAGCCTACCACTTGAGTTCAATCAGGCCCCACATGGTGGAAAGAGATGACCAGGTCCAACAGGTTATCCTTTAGAGTCCACAAAGCTCCAGAACATACAACATACCCCACAGATAAACAAACACAGAGATAGATATGACAGATGGACAGATGGATGGATGGATGAATGGGTAGATGGGTGGATGAATGGGTAGACAGACAGAAGATTTACAAAGAAAGAAACTGAAAATAGGAATAAGTTTATAAAGTAAAATTCCTCCTTCTTATCCTTTCGGGACCTGAATTTCAAAATGGTAAAAGGCCACCATCCCTCCATTACCTTATAGAAGTCTAGGTGAGTGTTAAAACCACACTGAAGACGAGAGAGGCAAAAGACAAAATTACATAAGAATGCATGAGCATACTAGCATACCTCCATCAAAACATTTGCAACCACTTTCAATTTTTTAACTCTATTTCTGTTTTGGCATTAAAAATTATCAAATATTCTACCATTTATTCCTGGTTCTGTGATACTCTAAAATTCTTTCATAATTCCTTAAAACTACTTTCATATAAAATATTCTGCCACTCATTTCAGTATCTAGGACAACCTAAGCGACTTTCACCACCACAAGTTAGTGAACACATTCCATTCATGTGGACAATGTATAGGAACATCTGTTCAGCTGGGATGGGTAAGAGATCCCAGACCCATCCCAGCTGCTTCACAGCATCACATGGATAGACAAACTGATGACTGTTTTCAAGTTTAATTTCAAGAATCACTAATTTAGCAGGGTGTGCTGGCATTTGTCTTTAGCCACAGCACCAAGGAGGCAGAGGCAAGTGGTTCGAGCCCAGGCTCCTTGTCTATATAGTGAGCTCTGTGACAGGCATAGCTACATAATAGAGACCCTATCTCAAACAAACAAATTACTAGTATACCACAAGACCTAAAATGCATGTAAACTGATATTCTTCCTGAATTTATTCAAATCCAATGTGGTTTTGGACCGCTTATCACCTGCATAGTTCATAAAATACTATTTTCCGTAAAGCAGATATTTTTAAGGGTTTCACAGGGTATTCTTGGCAGTTTTAGAATTCACTATGTAGACCATGCCTGGCTCTGTCTCCTAAGTGCTAGGATTAAAATTGTGTAGTACCACACCAAGTCCAGACACCATTCTTCAAACTTGATACATCAAACATAAAACCATTGCCTGAATTAAGACATTATCCCATCCATAGCCTTAATGTAATCATAAAACCTGGAAAAGGTTCTCAGGGTTCCATACAATGAAGGTATCACAAATTTTAAAATTAGAAATAGGCCATTACTCATTTAAAGCAGTATTCTAATTTTAAATATGGTCCTTTGACTATTTTCAATAAATAAGTTAATATCCCATATTGTAAGAAGGCAACAAAAGAAACTTCCTTTACCCATTTTAGCATCCTTTTCTATAGCTTATTTAGACAATTTCACTCGCATAAAGTAGGTAGCTAGCTCTTGACTCCCTTCAAAATGCATTTCTAGTACTTAAAAGTTATCTACATGTTTACCCTTTTCATGATCCTCTGGCATCATTTTCTAGTGTAAAAGGGGGCTGTCTTACCAGATCCAAAAAAAGATCTGAGTGTTTTTTTCATTTGCTTCTGCTTTGTGAGACAGGGCCCATGTAGCCCAGCACCATCGTCCTTCCTCATTCTAGTGCTGGGATTACAAGTGTGCCCGTCAAGCACAACTAGGGAAGAATTTTAAGTGTCAACTTGTATTTGTCTTTTCTATCTCAAAATAGGGTTGACTACTTGTTCCAAACATCTTAGAAATGGTCTTCACTCTGGGTGAAGAGATAATCAGAAGAAATACATTATTGTGAGCATCTATTCTTCACACAGGAAGACTGATCCCAGAGAACGAAGTGGTGGGACACGGGGACATGGGGACATAGACAACAGGGTGATAGTGCTGGAGCACAACAGAAAGGATTCCAGACTGGTATATTGAAGCATGCTTTTAATCCCAGCACTCGGGAGCCAGAGGCTGGTGGATCTCTGTGAGTTCAAGGACAGCATGGTCTACAGAGTTAGTTCCAGGACAGATAGGACTGTTACACAAAGAAGCCCTGTCAATTAAAGAAAACTGTGCAATTTATTCTAATTAAACTTTTTTTTGAGATTCAAGATATGATTATTTGTTACCCTTAAAAACATATATTTGACTGGACTCAGAAGTAGAAGCTCTCAGCAAGGATAGATTACACCTCAGCAATCTCCTCCTGGTACTTTTCTTTGGCTTCCTTGATACTCTTGGCCAAAAGTTTAGCATGTTCTACAGTATCCTCCTTGCTTTTCTTAGTACAGTGTTTCTTCAGAGCAATATATCAGCATTTTTGGTATAGGACACACAGAGTAACAAGATGCTGAATCTTGGATTCATTGAACCTGGGCTTCTTACCTTCTATGTTTAAGAGCTTTCTGACAAAAACGGAGGTTAGGGTTAGGGTTAGGTTAGAGAGATTAAAAAACTTTCTGATTCTGCTAGCTCTTTTAGGTCTCATCTGAACAGGTACAGTAGTATTTGTCAGTCCAGGAATATGCTTCTCTCCTTTTTTTTTTTACAATATCCAAGTTGAGAACACTCAAATTGGCATCCACACTGCATTCACAAACAGTCTTGCCCTTCCTCTCTCCAGTTCTCCTTGGTCTATAACAGAAATGGTCCTTACTCAAAATCAGGGGCACGCTGCCATGGGTCACAACACCTTACTTCATGGGAAGACTTTTATGTCATGCCCACCACTGATTCAGACCACATAACCCTTCCACTCTTCACCAGAGCATCAGCAGCTACTCTGTGGCCACTCCCTTTCACAGAACATACAAAGCTTGCATTCACCGTCCACTTCCAAGAGTTTCTAATGCCCTGACACTGGGAAGAAGATATTCAGTTTCATCTTGACACAGTCGACTGCCTAAGAGGTGCCACAAAAAAGAGGCCTCTCTAATTAAACTCTTCAGGGTGAGTAGGGTAGTACCAGGTCCATTTCTTAGTTTATTTAGTTACTCCTGCATGTGTAGTTCATACAATGTACTATCAAGCAGTCCAGAGAAGAGCAGTTTCTTGCCCAAATGTCTAATCTTGTCACATTGAAGGCAAATTCCATAAAAAGTTTCTTTGATGCCTATCAACCTCTTTGAAGTAATCAGAACTTCCAGAAGCAGAAATCTCTCACTGTTGAGAAATGTCTAAATTCTTAAAACCTTTTAAATGCCATATATTTTAGGTCTTTGAAAGGATTGAAGACTACCTATCCATCTGCAATATCTCTATAATCTAGAAAACTTAACTAGCATGACTACAAGTTTGACAACTATAGATGACTATCAATCCATAAATTTTTAATTTTACATTGTATTTTTAAATAAACCATATAAACATAATACCTTAAAGAAGAGCAGAAATACATATACACAGTGTATAAAATCAACCTTAAATTTGTATGGATATACCAAGATCCTTAACAATGCAAAGTATTCATCTTTATATCAAAACACTTATTTTTTGAACTAAAAATTATCCAGTCATTTATTTTTGTTACATACCAGAGAGATAATGAACATATTAAAAGGAAAAAGTGTTTTTATGCCAACATATTTCACTGGGCTTCTCTTCTGAACTCTGCCATTCAGGAAACAGGGACTGCCTTTGCAGTAAGCTGTGGCTCCTCTCCCTTTAACCTACGCTTAGGTTAAGGAAGACTGTGTTTATACAATTATGTAATTAACTTCAATTTATACACAGCAATTAAATTATTCAAAGTCTTAATACAGTAGCTAATTTTTGGAAATGACTTTTTACACAACCTACTTTGCAAAGTAAAAAAAATGGTTTATGTACTATTAACAACCACCTTCTCGATGCAAGTATCAGAACATATTTATTTCACTTTTTATTTTCAATTCTTGCATATGCATTAGGAAAGTAAAAATTACATATAAACGTTGTCAACTACTGTATTTCTAAAGTCAAGATGATTATCACCTTAGTGTTTAATTTCTGCAATGACTAATTTTTAAAACTCAAAATTGCTACTGATGTAATTTAAAAACAGCACTGTGAAATGCCTATTTATGGGTGGCAACAACATAAAGGCTAAAATGTACAGAATATGAAAAGTATAAAATGGCATGGCTCCATAAGTACAAAAATAGCTGCATTCTGACTACAAATGTGGAAATCTGACTCAAGTCTCAAGGCATAAGGGCCAAGAAGCAGATGTGCTGGAACTGGGGCATATTCAGTCCAGGATGCTCGACAGGCGGAACTGCTGACACAAAGCACTCACGTGCCAGAAATGAAGCGTCACAAATGGAAAGGCAGTCTCAACAGTGCACACTGCTCTACCTCTAAGTTCAGTTACATCTATAAGAACAAAGGGTTAACATGTCTCTTATGATAACATCTTTGGTTTTCAAAGAAATATAATACTTTAAAAAATAAAAATACACCAATTTGCTTTAACAAGTCATACTCATACTAAAAGAAGTTTTACATAACAGCTGAAGGTCAAGATCCCAAGTATGCAAAACTATCTTCAGAAAACTTGGGATGTAGCATGCTTAGGTTAGCTTAGATATCATCAACGTCTTCATCATCATGTCCAATATCGTCAAACTGGATTTCATCATCATCCCCAGGACCAAATGTGTCTGTTTCATTGATTTTTGCATGTTCTGGAAGTTCTCCATATGCCTTCAGACTTATTGCTTCATCTGCATTATGCTTTAAGATTACATCAGCTTTGTTATCTTTATAGTCTCATAGACCAATCAATATAATGTCTGAGGTATTTATCCAAACCTTTTTTTCTCAACTTTCCTCTGATGTGGCACCGCCTCCTTACACCATTGAAACATATTGCTTCCAACTGTCCATTTCCCAGCATTTTGATCACCTGGGCATACTCTTGCCCATCTTCTTGAAACACTAACTCTCTTTTTCCGGATTCATTTTCATTTTTACCTCTGCGCTTGTTTTTGCCTCCTTTGCCCTTATTCTTCAGCATGATGGTAAGGGCAACCACAGCAGTCGAGGTGAGAGACTACTTACTGACGTTGCCTGCAACTCCTCTCCAAGAGGAAAGGATGGGCGGCAGGAAGTGTCTAACAGTGGTAGATTGGAAGCAACTGTGCAGCGGCTGGAGCTTTCTGGTAAACTGTCAGTACAGAAGATCCACAGGCAGCAGAAAGGGTTCCAGAGTCCTGGCTTCTGCTAGGGTGACAAAATGCAGCAGAAGCCCTTCACCATCGCAGCTGAGTGAGCAGCCCCAAACCCTTATGTTTAGAAAAAGATTGACTGTGAGCATTTAATCATTTATAATCAATCCTCTGTAAATGAAAACAAACATTTATAAACAATCATTTTGGGAATTTGAGTGTAGTTTTCTCCAAACTGCTTCTTGTTATTTGCTGGGTGAAGTATTTTTATCATTCATGGAGAACTATGAGGGGGTCTTGTTCTATCAAAGCACATTAGCCTGGAAAGAATCCACAGGTTTTCATCTTCTGTGGAAACAAATGCAGAACCTCTTTTCCAAAGTAAAATATTCTTAGACTCAAATTTTGAAGTCAAGATACCTTTAAAATATATGTTGCTTTAATCTAGTAGTCCCCAGAATCAAATGTCTCTCTATAGTCAAGAAATTCAAAGAAAACACAATAATATACATAAACCAGACTCCCTGTGTATTTTCCATATTTATATAGCTTTTTCTTTCTATTACCTTCTAACATTTATTATCCTTACTCCTTTAATAAATAATATTGTCTGTCTTCTTTAATATATCATATATAATATTGTCTGTCTTCTTATAAGCTTACATATAGTTTTAAATACACTGTGTCTTGTTCAGAGGTCTTTATGTCTTAATTTGTCCTATTGTGTATCTAAAAAACTTTTCTGACAAGGAGAATTTTATAATGATTGTGTGGTTGAGGCAGCCCTGGATGCTGGTTCTGCTGCCTGCCTTGTCTTTTCAATATGGCAGCTGGCTCTGCCAGCTCTGGGAGCTATGTGCCCCAGCTCCAGGGATGCAGAGGTCTATGTTGCTTTCATTAAGCAATTTGCTGCATGTGGCTCTCAAAGCCCATAAGTGTTCCATACAGGACCTCCCAATAGAGTCAGACCATTTGTACCACCAGCATGAACCAGGAAGCTGATGCTTAAAGGAGTTTTACAGGTTTCGCTGCTAATGCTGAGTCAGGAAGCTTCTCTTACAGGAGTCTCACCTCTGTTTGCCACCAGCAAATAATCTATCTAAAAAATGTGGCTACCAAGAAGCTGCACTTGGCTTCTGTTTTTGTGGGCCTAGAAGCCCCCTATTTCAAGCTATTTAGGTTTTACATGAATCCATGCCACAGACGGTGGGCACCATATGTAAATGCTGGCTGCACTTTAGTTTCCTGGCCACACAGACTTGAATAATCACACAGAACTATACTAATTATATATTAATTACAACATTGTTTGGCCAATGTCTTAGGCATATTCTTAGCTAGGTTTTATATCTTAAATCAACCCATTTCTATTAATCTTTGTATCACCATGAGGCAGTGGCCAACTGGTAAGATTCTAGCATCTTTCTTCTTCAGCAGCTACATATCATCTCCTTGAGTCTGCCTACCCTCTGTCTATATATCTGTTTGTGTTTCCAACCTGGCTTTACTCTGCTGAACCATTGGCCAAAGCAGCTTTATTCATCAACCAATAAAAGCAACCGAAATACAGAAGGACATCCCACATGAGTAGTGGTCATGCCTGTGGCACAGTACCATCTTTTCTACCTTCCAGTCCCTTACACCAGCATCTACACTAAATCTTCCCAACAAAGTGTATTCACAACACTTACTAAGTGCACATGTCTTACAACCAGCTCTGTGTACATAGTGAGGGTCACTTTTCCCACTTTACACACAAGGAAGCTAGAACTCAAAAGTGAATACCAATCTGAGGCCACAATGGGAGGGGAAAGAATAAGACACAATCATAAAAATTCATAATACCAAGATAAATTCAGCCATAGTCCCTTCACTAAGGATATGATATACATTTACAGAAGCAAAGATTTACAGTCATCAGAGCATACAGCTTTAATCACATTATTCACGCAGAGGCTCGCAGAATGTGCTCACAAACACATTCAAAATAAATAAATAATTTTAAAAAATATTTAAGATTTGCATATGAAATTTTTGCCTACACATCTATATGTATACCATGTGTATACCTAGAACCTGCAGAGACTATTGATCCAATAGAGCTGGAGTTACAGATGGCTGTGAGCCATCACGTGGATTCTGAGGAACCAAACCCAGGTTCTCTGCAAGAGCCATGAGCATTCTTGGTCACAGAAGTTTAACAATTCTGTTCTCAGACTACATGTATTTCACATGCTTTGTAGTTTTCAACTTTAAACATATACATAAAAATTTATAGATTAAATCTAAAATCAATTTATTCTGTTGAAACAAAAATGAACAATATTAATTTAAAAAGAAAAGACAAACAAAAGCACAGGACTTTTTAATTTATTACTGATTACTAATAATCTGGTAATTTTGTGGCATTAAAATTCGAGACCAGCCTGGTCTACAAGAGCTAGTTCCAGGACAGGCTCCAAAGCCACAGAGAAACCCTGTCTCGAAAAACCAAAAAAAAAAAAAAAAAAAAGAAAAAAAAAAGAAAAATAAAAGCATTAAAAGTTTTCTACTGAGAGATGGGCATGGTGGCACACACCTGTAAACCAAGCACTGGGGAGGATAAAGCAAGAGCATCCTGAGTTCAAGGTCAGCCTGAGATAAACACCAAGACTTTCAAGAAAGCAAAAAATAAAACTGTGAACTTGTTTCTAAAGGTTAGGGAGAAATGGGAAGCAGGTACTCATGACTACACGTGAAGCTGTGAACGACAGTTGCTTTCCACAGACAACTCAGCACTATCTACTAACAGCTGCTGATGCAAACCCATTTGTGCTCGCAATTCTCTTTCTGTGTGAGGATGTAACCAAGGATACATAGATATGTGTGTATAGGACAACAATGTCAGTAAGTAGCAGAAAGGAAGAAGGGAGCAACGGGGAGCAAGAGAGGACAGAGAAATGCAACATAAATATTCAAAACAGATAATTAGTGACCTAAGGATAAATCTAAGTCAACTAATGAAATGGCATATAGCCATTAAATTAATTATACAATGTAGTTAATTGTATATAAACCCATGTTTATTTTTTTGAGTCTGACATGAGAAGTTTATTTTAGGAATATTTAAGTACAGTACAATTTAGAAAAGTTTCCTGTTATAACACAATCCCATTTGCACAATGAGATATAGTTGCATAGAAACTCAAAATATCTGTCATATCTTCCAAAGTGATGAGATCTATATATAGGCTACATGTATTATCTTAAGGGCTTATAGAAGGATCTGGTGTGTTTTCAGTCATACAGATAGCCCAGAGGTGATTCAGGCTATCAACCACCTCTTGTCCTGTTTGTGGGAGTCTGGAGGAGACCCTGGCCATACAGATAGCACAGAGGGTACCTCAACTATTAGCCACCTCCATTTCTGGCATTCTGGTTGGAAAACAAGTTGTGCATCTCTTCCTTTGAAGAAATGACCAAGCAAGTTTAACATTACTGGTTTCCCCAGTGCTTATCTGTGATTGCAAGGACTTTTGTGCACCCAGCATTCTGTCTTCTCTTGCTTGAGCACAGAAGAAATGTGATCAACCTGTTCTTGCCACCATGCTACTCCCATGGCCATGTTGTTCCCTTTCATGGTGTTCTCCATCCCTCGAGCACTGTAAGCCAAAGAAAGTTCTTTCTCCCTTATGGTTGATTTTTAGCAGGGCTGTTTAATCACAGCAGCAGAAGAGTAACATATATTCTTCTTCAATCTGGTTGGTTCCTGTATCATGGCTTTCTCTCTGTCAATGAACAATATGACCATGCCTCTTCCCATCCATTATTGTGTTCATGAATGGGACTGCACGAGTCAAGTAGGATGTGAGAAGAGTTCTGAAATGTAAAAACTTTTCTTTCTCAGCCGGGTAGGTTACATCTTGCTTCTCGGTGGTCTGGGCAGGAATCTAAACCCATGTTTATAAAACATTTTATAATATGTTTTCTCCAAGTATATAATGCCACATATAATTTACATACAGGTACGTAAGTATACATGCAACCACCCTCTTCAAATTTTCAAGTTTGGAAAGAGAAACAAAAGATTTCAATAAAAATTTTTCTCTTAATAATGTCAAGTATTCCTAAGTGCTACTTCTTTGCATTATATCCACTCCTGAATTTCTAGATGGACTTCTCATTATGGGAGTGATGGAAACCCAATATCTTTCATGATGCAGAAAAACTATCTGATGACCCTAGCTTAATAGATCATAAAATAGAAAATGACGCATAACAATAAATCAACTGACAAAGTCAAAGTTACATAAGGCTCTGCCAGAGTCATAGCTCACAGTGAATATCCTTTTCAATTAAGTATTTCCATTTCTCTTAGACTGATGCATACAGAAGTGTTTGGGTTTGAAAGCCAGATCCTCATTAGTTTAAGTCCTAATGTTGAGCAAGTGATCTAGCCTCTCTGAGCCTCATACTCCACAGCCAGAAATATGGTAAGCAGTCTCTATTGTTATTATAAGAGTATAATTGTGAGCGTTCAAACTCGTCTACGCAGTCACATCCTCTTACAGTTGTGAACGTTTAAACTTGTCTATGCAATCCCAACCTCTTACAGTTGTGAGCATTCAAACTCATCTTGCAGAACACTTGTACTGGGCTTAACATTTTCATCACAAAGTGATAAAAAATCAAAATCATACTGCTGTTATTTTAGTGAACTTGCCCCTGGCCATTTCTACAGGCATCAAGGGAACAAATAAACCATATTTCTTCTGGGCTCATATTTGGGTCCTGAGGCATCTCCTAGAGGAATCATCAAGAAGGAACTGTCTCCACTGAAGGGTGCATATCCTACGGAGCTAACTACTCA